TGGTTGCTCTAGCAACCAGCACCTGAGCTGCCCTGGCAATTAGCAGAGGCCCTAATCCCTACTTAGGCACGGGGCACCCGAGTGCCCCCATGACACTGCTGATGCATGATAAAGTGCAATTAGATTTTCTGATGACTTCATCACGCTGATGACTCATGTTCATCTTGGAGTCCACTAGGACTCCAAGATCCCTTTCCGCTTCCATGCTACTGAGCAGGTCATTTCCTAGGCAGTAGGTGTGCTGGAGATTTTTCCTCCCTAGGTGCAGCACTTTGCATTTCTCCTTGTTAAATCGCATTCTGTTGTTTTCTTCCCATTTGTCCAACCTGTCCAGGTCTGCCTGTAGTTGTGCCCTGCCCTCCAGTGTGTCCACTTCTCCCCACAGTTTTGTATCATCCTCAAACTTGGACAGAGTACACTTCACTCCCTCATCCAAGTCACTGATGCAGACATTCAAGAGTACTGGTCCAAGGACCGAGTCCTGCAGGACCCCACTGCCCACGTCCTTCCAGGTCAATATTGACACATCCACCACCACTCTCTGGGTACGACCCTCTAGCCAATTTGCCACCCACCGGACTGCATAATCATCCAAGTCACAGCTTCTTTATTTGTTCACCAGCATAGGGTGGGATACTGTATCAAAGGCCTTCCTGAAGTCTAAGTAAATGACATCTACCCCTACTCCTGCGTCCAGGTGTTTATGACCACCTGATCATAAAAAGAGACTAGATTAGTCGGGCATGATCTACCTGCTACAAACCCGTGCTGGTTTCCCCTCAGCGTAATTTTTCCTGCTGGGCTCTCACATATGAGTCTTAATAATCTTTTCAAAGACTTTACCAAGGATGGAGGTGAGACTGACTAGCCTGTAGTTGCCTGGATCCTCCTTCCTCCCCTTCTTGAAAATAGGGACCACATTGGCCCTTAGTGGTAGCCTATAAAGTGGACAAGCCACAGGTTGGTGTTTCAGGGGTTGAAACCAACACTTCATAATCCCACCTAGAAGCCAAATAGTAACCAACCCCGGTTGCAAGCAAATGTAACAGCACCATACAGACATTCAGTTTCTACCAGAAGAAATTGTTATCCTCCCAGCAGAAAGCAAAAATGTGCAGATGTTCCAGCTTTTTCCTTCTAGAGCAAAAATGGCTGCACCAAGAGAAAAATAACTTGGCCAACCACGGTTAAACCATTCCTGGGAGAGTTTCTGCTGGGAGACCGAACTTTCCTCCAGCTTAACTCCTCCTGGGGACCAGAAATATTGGAGCCAGAGGAAAGGCTCCTGTTTCTTCCCAAGATCAGGGTCAGTAGCCTCCAGAAGGTAGGGATGGCAGTTGCTCCTGCCCCTTCCTGTAGATGGGAAGAAAAGGGAGGAGGAACAGTTGCCATCTGTTCCCCATGTACTTCTTATCCCCAAGTTCCCGGTGTGAGATGCAGGCAGAAACTTTGTTATGCTGCTGCTTCTGCTCAGCTCCCAGGCACTGGGAGCACCGCCCCATCCTAGCTTCCCCATGTACCCCCTTCAGCTGAGCAGCAGGGGCAGCAACTGAAAAGCCAGTGTGACACCAGCTGGGCCTGAAAGCCTGGCTTTCAGATGCAACTGCTTCCCCTTCTCTCCCACCATCACTCAGTTGAGCATGGGGGCAGCAAATTAAAAGCTGAAGGGGACAGGAGGCCAATTTGGGGGAAACCTGTGCACACCTGGCTCCCAGATGTGCCAGCTTTTCAACTGCCACCCCTGTTCAGCTGAGCCAGGATAGCACACAACAAGATAGAATACTTTTCCGCCGGAGCAAAATGACTCCGCCTTGCCCCATGCTGCTCAGAGTCAACCCAGGGCAACAGAGGGTAAGGCAGGGTGGCATGCCCCTGTGGCAAGGTTCCCAGAGCCAGGCCATGACTCAGTGCTCTCCACTTCTCTCACACTCCTCTGGGTCAGCCCAGAGAAGAACACAGAGTGGGGCTAATCTCCTGTGGGCAAGAAAGAGGGTTCCCACCTGCGGTGGAAGGCCGGGGCTAATGGAACTTAGCCTCCCATACTTTTCAGTGGCCAGCAACAGCAGCAGCAGCACCATGGTGCTGCCATCCTGCACCGCCCAGCATCGCCTAGCATGCAGTTACTCCTCCACTGCAGTGTACAGCACCAGGGTGCACCAGCCCTACAACGGCTATGTGGGAGGGAGGGTTGGGGGTCAGCCCCCAAATAATATTTCCCCCCCACTCCTTACGGTTCCCACAATGGGAAAGTATCCCCACCAATCAGTTGAATGGCAGGAGACAGGGCATTCTCCCAGGGTGGGGACCTTCCCCAGCTGTCTGTGGCAGCTGCTGCTTTTCTACAGCTGCCAAGTGCCACTTAACAGCTTGCCCCCTTCTGAGGCAGGGAAGGCTGCCCATTAATAGCTCCCCTAAAGGTGGATGTGGCCTTTGGAGCAGCCCTCTAGGGCCCCCTGGCTAGAAAGCTTGCTGTACAACTCTGCACAGTCCACCTCCCAGGCTACTTTTCTACTGGAAAACATTTCTTCAGATAGAAATAAACATCAGCACGGAGCCTGTAAAAACATCTACACCCCAAGCAGTGTGGCCTATTGCACTACTTCCGGGTTCTGAATGAACTTAAGAAATAGCTCTATATCCTCCATCATCCTAGCTTAGACATAATATCTGAAACCCAACTTTTGGAAACTTAAAATGTTAAGAGGCTGGATTCCACACCTTATTTTAAACTTTCTTCCTGGGAATTTGGCCCATATCTGATACTGAAATGAGCCAAGCTGTTCTGCAAAGAACTTAATAAAAAGAAGCTGACAATGGAGTAAAATGCATTATAATTTCTAAACTAAAGTCTTTATTAAAGGAGCTTTCCAAAAAATAAATTTTCAGACTTCTGCAAAAGCAAAGAACCCCATTACTCAAACTGGTATATCTACAAGAAGGCAGGGTTTAGTAATCCAACTCTCCAGAAAAAAAAGTTTCCTTGCCAGACAGCTATTAGACACTCCAATGGAAAACAATTTATGATATTAGAAGAAGAGAGTAGTCTAAAGTAAGTCTATTATAAACAATTATTTCAACCTTAAAAACCACTGCAACTTCAAACCCATTTAATTTTTCTGTCAGAACAGCTTCCCACCTTTATAAATGAAAATGTAAGAAAGGTACATGAGTAAAGTGATGAAAGATACAGATGAAATATTAACAAGGGATCAAATGCAATAAACAGAAAGCAGAATGCTCACAATAACGGAAAGGCTAGGAATAGAGGCGGATAAATAATGCATTTAATGTTAATACCACCAAGACAATGAATTAAGCAAACACACAGTAAAGGGAGTTATATGCAAGATATGACAAATAACAGATCAACTGAAAAACTGAGGATTGCCCAGTATAGAAATTATCTTCAAGAAGGCTGCGCACTTCTGAACTATGAAAGTGTTTCCTCTGACTGAAACCACATTTAATAGACGGGTCTTGCTTCTGATCGCTTTTTTTTTTTAAGGTGTCATTATCCATTGGAGAGGATGCAGTATGGGACAGCCAGTGTGTTTGAAATGGCTCACAGTTAGACTGGAAAAAATTAAGTGGTTACAAGAATGAACATTCCAGTATATACGAGAAAAAGGATTTTAAGCTTGAGCCTTATCTTTTCTTACAGAAATATGAAAAGACAACATCTCAAACTCTGTATGTAGAGATATAATGATACTAATATGAGTTTTGGCATACAATAGTTTTCCTTTGAGTAGGGGTAGAGCACTAACAAGATCCTTCCAATGACAAAGGAGACCAACCCCCTATATACAGATTCAGTCCTGGTGATCTGTATTCACGTCGCTTTAGACACTCGTAAACAAAACATTCAATGTAGATATAGTTAGGATTGCAAAGCAACACAGAAACTTAAGAAAATTACAAAACTGAAAGTGAAGAAATACTGCATTTCAGATTCCTAAACCAGATTCAATCCTGCCAATTTCTTCTCACTATATTGCAAATTAGTACTAGCCCTCCAACAGCATGGCAATATAGCTAGCACAAACCCTTTTTTCCTTTTTTTTACGTTTGTTAAAATAAATTAAAAAGGGAAAAAAATGAAAATGTCAATACTATTAGCCTGACTCTCACAAATTTTTGCCATACTTCTGAAAAGTCATTGCAATGCTTGACTGGATATTAGTAAGCTGACATTCTCAGTAGAAAAGGGTTTTCATGTGTTTGTGAACTTTCAAAACATATACAGTATTTTTTGCTTGCTTGCCTAAGGAGGAAAAGTTCCAGTTTCAATGAATTTCACAAAAAATGAATTGGACATACTTGCACTACTCCATTCATCCTTCTTAGTTTTGTTTTTCATGAGAGAAGGTATACTTATAAAAGTCACAGCTGTTGACTTTTCCCATTCTTTTGACACAACCGTATTCATTTTAAATTTACCTAGCGCAATTTAGAACCAAATCGTATTATAATCTTACAGACCCCTAGATCAAGAACCATTGGCTATAAAGATTAAGAGGGTAATAACCTGCCACATGTGGTGGCAACTTAATGAATGGAAAATAGATCCTGATATGGTTATGTGTGACCTATAACAACTCCCAGAGCCAGCACTGTATTTATTTGATAATGGCTTATTCTGTTAAAACTGCTGAACAATATTGTTAAACAGTTAACACCTTTAGAATTTAATCAGTCTTATCTAAAAACTTTTTGGAAAACAATCTTAGTCCCATGTAGTTTCTGCCACGAGTTGCAAGGCCACAGAAAAATAAGTATCAAGGACATCAGCTGATCACTACAAAAAAGTACAAATCAAATAAGACTGTCAATGAGTTTAACATATTTAAATATCTGAAAATACTCAGGCCCTGTTTGAGTGGATAGTGTTCCTTACCCTGATCCATCCAGACAAGCGAAAAAGTCCTGCCATTCCATTCATCCTAAGAAATAAACAAACATATTCCAGGTAAGATCAAAACATAGACATGTGACACTGAAAGGTGTTTTACATCCATCTCTCCCAACTTCTTTCATATCCAGCCTTTCACATCATCCAGCAGAAAATCCTGTAGTATATCTGTAAACAATGAATTAAATGTGTCCCTCCTCCACTACACCCAAGAACAATCATATCTGTGCAAGTCAATACAACAAAGGTTTTGGGGAAGAAACTGAAGCAGACTGAAAAAACTTAAGAACAGTTCTACACAGCAGCTATCCAGAAGCTACTACTTTCATTAGGCTAAAACAACCACTGTTGCCCCCTCACAACGTCTAAGAAGGATATACATGATCTTAAACCAATCACCAGCTCAGCTTCAAACTCCCCCATGCATTTGAAAAAAAGGGGCTCTTTCTACTTCTAGAATTCCTGTAGCCCTTCAAATTTGCCCACGGAGCACAGGGGTTTATGCAAACCTTCCACATTTCCTAAGCCTCATATGCAGCTAAAGAGACACTCTTTATTTCATCACTAACAATTTAAGTGAGGTTTTCACTCAATAGAAAATAAACCCTGCGTAAATAAAGCAGAGTAGAGCAAAATACATTGTGCCAACTTTAAGTTTCATCTCCTCTGATTCAGCAATGGAAAAGACCATTTAAAATAGTAGCCCATCACCTAAATAAAAGATACTTTAACCAGTACAAGTGGACCAGATGTTATGTGATGATCAGTCCATGATTGACATAAGAGTTTCATTCTAGCACACTATGGAAATCAGAACCCTCGCTGCTGGCTAATATATCATTTATCTTTAAAGACCTTTCTATATATTTAATATTCACATCTCAGAAGAAATATTAAGGACTGAGCAGGCAGGGTGAATAAATTTCTATCACTCCAAGGTAGAGTTGAGATACTCAGTAGGGTAGTTTGTGAAGGTTTATACTGCTTCCCCCAGTACTATGCACATACAAGAACAAAGGTCTTCAGGACTTAAACGCTATCAATCGGGCCCCTTTATGAACATTTAGGGAACTGAAAAGAGTTTAAAGTAGCACTGTAATTACATTATAGAAGAAGGGGATTTCCATGCTGCTACAGGTTCTACAGCCTCCCATTTTCTCTCCAGAATATAGCCTTGAAGGTCTTCTGATGTTCTTGAGCCACGGTACCTGCGAAATACTCCATCCTTTGCACTGCAAACAAATACATGGTGATTTCTCTAATGTTACTTAAGGCAAGCTATTGCTGTAACATGCATCATTTACTATTTTTATGTCACTTAAGAAATACTCTATCTGGGTGGCCAACCTGCAGCTCTTCAGAAATTAATATACGTCTCCTTGAATCTTTGCACAAGCCCACAGTGACCAGCTCCATATCTGTTATGTCATGTCATGTGCTTGTGCAAAGATTCAAGGAGATGCATTTTAACTTCTGAAGAGCCACACGTAGCTCTGGAGCTGCAGGTTGGCCACCCCTGCGATAGCAGGTTTCAGCTCACTGCATTAACGTCACAATCTACTGGGAGTGATGACTTAAAAAACAAATCCCAACTTATTTCTAAACAGATTTACCCATGCATACACACTCTCACTCCAGTTGTTGCTGGAGTCTTCTCAAAAGCCTAAAAATTGGGAACAAAATCTTATTTAAAAACAAACAAACAAACAAACAAACACACACACACAACCCACAATATTCTCTGTTTCCTTGGGGAGGAGGGGAAAGGGCAGCTGTAAAAGTTACTTTACTCTAACAGTCTGTGTGAAGTATTACTAGAACTACACATTCAACATTTTTTAAACAATAATGGAAGAAAGGATAACTGAGCAAACACAGCTTATATATTCCCCCCCTGAATTGTTGCAGATTATTTTGTCCTATGGGTAGTCTAACCAGGGCAAGTTAGTGAAACTATTTTTCTTGGGAAAACAACTCCAAGAGACAAATTCATCTGCATTAGAACAGTTGAAACTATTTAGTCAAAGGCATTAATTAACGTCAAAGTTAGTCTATTTATGTCCATTCTACTTTCAATTATGGTTTAACACAGATAGAGAGAACATAAAACTTTGCAGCCTCAGGGAGAGCTGGCCAACATGCCCATTTATATTAAGAGGCCTACACATTTAAAAAGCTGTCCAATTTTACAAAATCCAGTAAAAGTATATGCAGTGTGACTTGCTGCGATGAAACCCCACTTATATTCTGGCCTGTTTATATCTATTTATAAATTTTAAGTGGGCAATTCTTCCTGGTCAAGCAAATTTTTCCAGATTATCTAAATTACAATAAAATTAATTTTGGAAAATTTTTGCCTTGGGCCAATATGGACACTGCAAAACTTCAACTAAAAGTTAAAATTATCCAGGAAAGAGGACAGAGGAAAACTTAACTATGATGTCAATTGTTACAAATGCTACTAAATACTATGTTTAGACTAAAACACACCCCTCCCCAAACTGTTTGAGGATAAAATGTTACCTATATATATTGAAAAAGACTATTTTGTATTTTGCCTTGGAATGAAGATTAAGTTCAAGTGTATTCGTTGACATTTTTAAAAGATATAGTTGTAAACAGCCAGTGTCAATCCCAAGCATTAGAAAAAACTGGCCATCCTAGGATTACCCATATTTGCATCTACCTCCAACCACGACATTCTAAGCAGCATTAACAGAAGGAAGTTAAACAAGCTTTGATGTCCTTACCCATTCTGATAGCCAACATTCTGGGAAAAGGAAGGAGGGAAGTATGTTGTGCAACATACAATATGCCAGAACTACGTTCAACAGGCAGTGGCTATCAAGAACAGTAGGTAAGGATTCATTTTAAATTTCATCTGTTCGCTGGCTCTACATGATTTTTGCAGTCATCTAAAAACAGACCACTGTGTTTCCCAAAGGACATGGACTTACTGGTAAATAGTAGGAAGTGTTGTGACAAAGAAACGGCCACTCAAACCTAGGGAAAAAGAAATAAAAAATATTTTTATTTGAACTGCTGAAATATTTCCATTTTAATTTTCTAGAGAAACCATGAAAGATAAGTCTTTTCGGACTAAAATGTTGGGAGTGTGATTTTTAATTACATTATTTGTTCTAGAAAACCCTGCACTAAACAGTGACAGTGCTATGTAACGTGAAGTACTGTCCAGAATCAAAGCAACAATAAAAAGCAATGGCTTACTTTTTAGAAACCGTGGTTCTTCATCTCTATTTTGGTTCCTATTCTAGTTATATGCACCTCATACATGCAAGATCAACATTTTAAATAGTTGTTTAAACATTTAAATAGCATTTAAATGTTCAACCACTCTGTACCGTTTCTCCTTGAATGCCTCCACTTGACGGCATTAAGAATAGAACAGATGAAACCATTCTTTCTCTGCCAATTCAAACGCCCCATAAAAGACCTCTCTGAAAAGGGTCCCATTCTTGGAGGATAATCTCATTCATGAGATTGGAGCTGCGGAGTCCTTACTACCACCAAGTATCTAGCAATTGTAACATGGGCCCACGAAACCTGGCACCTAAGCTTGTGGCCAGATCAAGGATAGAGCTCTTAACAGTATGGAACATGTTCTACCTTGCTGCCTTGCACATCACAAATCTGGAGATACTTTCTTTGGAGGCAGTAAGATGATTCTTAATGTTTGAAGGCAGAGGCAGACCAACAACTAGATAAGACCCAAAATAGACTGCACACTCTGTTTAGATATTATCTTGTAAGAGGAAAATAGCTTGCCCCTTACAGGTGAAACTTACAGCAGCAGATGGAGTTTGTCTACAGGGCTTTGCTTATAATTTGTGATTTGTGATCCACCAAATTTGCTTATGATCCGTGATCTACCAAAGCATCTTGGTTACAAAGGGCTGCCCAAATTGATATTTCTTCCCCTGGGTACATATTTTTTCATTGTAGAAAGCAACTGCATTTCTTATTCCTGCAATTAGGACGCAGGACTCAAACAGCTGATATCCACGCTGTCAGGCACAAAAGTGGCAGGCCTGAATACAATATTTGCACCTAGTTTTATGACGTTATACATGGACAGTTTGAGAATGCAACTGAAAGCTGAATAAGAGGAGAGTCCCAGTACATCTGGGAACCAGAACAGTCTTGGACAAGATGGAGCTTGGACATTTTTCTGTGGTAGGAATGAGTGTAGTATGGATTTCCCCAGTGGCAAAATCTTGGCATGATACTGAGCTCCTCTAAAAACATTTATGATTTCTAGATTACTAGTTCCTGCAAGACAGTTACTCAGGTTTCCCCATGTTGGCAGCATTCCCATAATTTCACTGATAATTGGCAAATGGGAGAGAAGCAAACATAAGGATTTATAATACATTGAAAAACTTTGTCTGCAAGAATTTGCATGGAGGAATTCTTTCTATTAGCTAGGTTAGCTTCCACAGCAATCCTTATTAATTGTAGTTCTTGAACATTTATGCATAGGGTCATATCCTTTTGAAGCCAAGTCCCTGCATGTGATCCCCATGTTCTCCCCAATCCATTCATGCACAGTCATGCATCACCAGTGTATCAGGGCCATAGAAAAACGAACCATTTCTCTGAATGTTCTTATGGTCTGATGACCAAAACTAGTAATGACAGTAACCTGGAATTACTATGTGCACATTTATCAGCTATCTTGAGAAGCGATAGAGATCTCACCAAGTGAAGTCTGGCTGGCAGTGTCACATGTGCATGCTGTCATGTGGCTCAGAAGTTTAAAGTGGGTTCTTACCCACAGCTTCCACATCATTTCTTTCTTGATGTGTTCATTTTGATGCTGGCAAGAAGAAAATCTAGCAGAACTGTATCTTCCCAAGGAAAACCTGGAGTCAACTGAGTATGGGAAAGGTTCATCATAATGAATGTCTCTCTCTGCAATTCACAAAGAAGCTTAAGCTGGTTTAGCTGGTGAAGTATGACAGTACATTCTTGATGGACTTATCTTAAATCATATAATTGTCTACAAACAGAGCTAAACATGAATGCCTCATCTTCTTAGCTGGTTGCTTTGTAGCCAAAGTGATACTGGTGACTAAGTCTTTGTTACATTCAGTGCAAAGATCTACTTTCTGTGATGGAGAAAGGTGCCATACTAAGTAGGTTTTCCTTTTGTGGTGACATCACCACAACAGGAGATCAGATGTCTAGCAAGGCTGAGTCTAATACCATTTGTCCCGTTCCATACACACAGCAACTTTTTGACTTCAGGTCACCAGCACAGTTCATGTTTGCTGTTGGTGCCTAAACCTAACAGCTTGGACAGCTGCTGGGAACAGCACCAAGAACATCCGTCTCTTCACTACTGAGTCAAGATTACTTGCCCGTCACACAGGTGATTTCAGTGCTCCAAACTGGAGAGAAGCATGAAGATTTCAGCATCTAATGAGAAGATCCATGTGGGGAATCACTTTAAGCCTGACATGCCAGTCTCCCTAGCCTTGGTGTGGAAGTCTTCGCTGCCAGCATAGTAGACGAGCAGTTACTGGCAATGTCTGGTCTTTGCCCAACAGAGCAGAGGCAAACTTTTTCTGGTAACAGTGTTAGGTTTCAGGTGCCAGAGGCTGGGATTAGAACCTAGAGGTCTCATCTTGGAAGTCAATGACCATTTTCCAAAGACTGAAGTTCCTCTCATTGATTGGTCAACTAGGTACAATCTCAATAAACTATCCCTGGATTTTCTTGTTCTAGTCAGAGAGTAACAAACTGAATAGCCATCGTACATGTGGCTCTCACCAAGAAAAAAAAAAAAAAGGCTTTTTTGCAATGCTCTTTAAGGCAAATGAGTCTGTCACAAACTGAACAGAATTTAATATATGAAGGCTTTGAATTTGCTATCTTGGTTTCAAGATTCTGCTCAGCACCAGTAAGTTAAAATAACAATTACATGTGGAAAGGAAACTTGGTGAGGAAGTTAAATCACAACGGAAAGGAAAAAATGTCAATAAAATGTTGGGGACATGGTCCTTTTGTTTAAAGGTAACTAAAGAATGATTGCTGCACTTATTCTCTGGGAATGCAAAAGCATGCAGTGAACAAACAGTCCACACACTGCTATTCAAAGAGGTGAGAAGCATATGCTCACTTGGAGAAAACACAAGAAGTCCCACAAAAAAAGAAGTTGCTGATTCAGCTGGCTGCTTCTTAATACTGCACCAATTACAAGCTTGTGGTTGATACCGCACCAATTACAAGCTTGGCAATTCTTTCAAAGATTTTTCCCAGGACCAAGGTCAGACTGATAAGTCTGTAGTTTGCAGGGTCGTCCCTCTTCCTTTTCTGAAGGGTGGGTACCACATTAGCCCTCTTCCAGTCATTCGGGACCACTCCCGAGTTCAACAGCTCGTCAAACAGATTCGCCAGAGGTCCTGCTTTGAGCTCAACCAGTATTTTCAGGACTCTTGGATGCAGGTCAACTGGCCCATCAGACTTGAACATGTCCAAATGTTCCAAGAGTACCTTCACCTGCTCAGGACTGATTTCATGTGGACTGTTGTCTTCCCCATGGAAGGGGTCTACTTGGTGCCTCAGTTGTATCCAGTTTGGGGCACTGCATTATAAAAAGGATGCAGAGGAACTGGAGAGGGTGAAAAGGATGTAGTGTAGATCAACAAAGATGATAAAAGGGTTAGAAAGCAAGTCATGGGAAGAAAAGGCTACAGAACTACTTGTGTTTAAAATCTGTTGAAGAGGAGATTAAATGAGCATGTGATAGTTTTAAAATAATTGGGGGGGGGGGAGTGGGCAGGAGAAATCAGCAAGCGAGCAGAAATAGAAAAACCCTAGTCAGCAGATGTGTTGCAATGGGTTTAAACTGAAACTGAAACAAATCCCAAGAAAGACTTCTTAACTAACAGTGGGAAGATGGAAGCAGCAGCCTATAGAAGTTACACCAAAGTTTCCAACAAGAGTTTGGAGGAATCTAACTGGGATAGTTGAAAAACAAAAAAATTCTGCATCGGACTAGATTTGTGGTTTCCAACCCACAGTAAGCATACCACAAGTGACACAGGTATTCAATGTGTTAGGCACACAACAGACTGGGGAGGGCAAAAGAGACTGGAGTGGCAACTGAGAAGGGGATAGGAGTTTGGGGGAGAGAAGAAAGTGGGGTGGTTCTGTGCTGGCTTGAGGGTTTGGCCCCACACAAGCTGCAGGGGTAGATGCTGCCAAAAATCACATCCAGTGGTGCCAAGATTCAAAGGCACTAGAGGAATCGGTGGCTGATTAATAGAATGGCCCACCTCCAAAAAGGTCAACCACCACTGGATTAGATTATTCTTGACATCCTTACTATGATTCTGGCAATGTTCATTTTACAAAAAAAAAATACAGAGGATATGGGTTGGAGTAGCAATATCAAAATTATAAATTATAATTGCTTGCATAAATGGAGACAACACTCAGAGGACCATGGCTTGGTCTCCAGATAGGTGATGGGTGAGAACAGTGCTGCTAGAGAACCAAGTAGCAGCAGCAGCAAAGACCCTAAATGCCATCAAAAAGGTCCAAAGTCTCACACAAAAGGACAAGTAACTGGAAAGGAGTTAAGTTGCCCCAGTTTAATTTTATCCTACATGATAATTGTGCGCATACGATCAGCTCCTGTATGCCATCTGCCCTCTGGTTTCAGTCTCTGCTCCCTGTTAATTAGTTCCTCTTGTACGTCCAAATTGCAAGTGTGAGGATGCCATAGCACTTGCACCACCTCCCAATCTTTGTTCAGCGTAAGTGATAAATGTGTCATCAGGAGTCTTGAAATACCAAGACTACTCTCTTTTCCTCCTGGAACAATATAGTCTTGTGCTGATGAGCTGAGAAATAGCACTAGATATAGATCTCAAAAGATTATTTGTTCTTCAGTGTAGAAATCAGAAAAAAAGTGGAGAAAGGAATGGAGTGAGGGAAACTAATTAAACAAAATAAAATGCAATCTGAATGCAAGA